AAGCGGCGGGGGCAGCCATTTAAAAAGGGCACTTATTCTTGAGCCTTAATTTTTTTTTTGCGGGGGGGCAATGTTCGTTAACATTTTGCTGTATAACGGATACTTCATTACTTGTAGCTAATACAGTTAGACAAATTTCGGCATGGATTGGAACATTTTTATTCGTTGCATGACACTAAAGACTAAAATGTATTGTAAAGCAACATGACAGTTGTCAGTTATTTAGGAAGGCTTTCTTTTTCCATTTTTTTCATAGGTGGAAGCTGATTGGTAACGTTTCTGAGAGGAATTCAGATTCAAATATGAGCTAAATTGTTTAAAAACAGTTTTCAATTTCAATTCATGTGAAAAACGCACGACGTATATATATATATATATATTTAACAATTATACCATGAGCTTGAGTCGTATATGAGCTGATAGCCGACGAGGTGCGTAGCACCGAGTCGGCTATCAGCCATATACGACGAGAGCGAATGGTATAATTGTTTTATAATATAGTCTAATATAGCCATTAACTGAAGCAGTAATTAATTATTCACTGTTACAATGTGTTGACAATTTGTTCGGCCTAAAACCGCTTGAAAATTTGAAATACGTTTGTTTTACAACTCGAAGACGAAGTGAAAGAAATGGTTTTAGAACCTCTATATCTCACAGGAAAGCTCAGATATATTATACAGATATTTGGTACTATAGTAAGTGCTTGTTGACTGCAAATTCATTTGTCGTTCATTGCAAACTTTTCTGAACAATTTATATTCTCAATGAACATGTTTTTTCGCTGTTGTTTTGGTATTAATTCTTTGAAAAACTTGTATTTAAACTAATTTCTACGTAATAAATGTATTTTGCTAACCTGTCAAATTTTTTTGAGAGTTTATCCTTGTACTATTATGTTTCTCAAAGCGAATATTTTCCTTTTTCTGCTAGCTTCGCAAAGCTCATGTAGTTTTTGGACCGCCATCTTGTTTTTCGCTACTCGCCGTATATGAGCTGATATACGGCGAGTAATTCAACCAATCAGATTGCAGAACAGCTCATATACGGTGGATGACTATATTATAAATATATATATATATATATATATATATATATATATATATATATATATATATATATATATATATATATATATATATATATATATATATATATATATATATATATATATATATATATATATATATATATATATAATATATATATATATATATATATATATATATATATATATATATATATATATATATATATATATAATATATATATATATATATATTAAGCAGGGCTTTCAGAATTATTCAGAGTAGGTGTCTGTTTTGATAAAGTAGGCGGCTGTGGGGAGGGGACGGTCTAGGGAGTCTTAAAGTCATCCAAATTAACATTGATTAGATAGCATTGATTAGATACAGTACGTTGATTAGATAGCAACACAACACAAAATATGATGTATCACTACTTTCACTGTCGATTTCAAGTCACTTTTCAACGCGTGAACGGTGGTTTCCAAGTTTGTTTCGAACTTTCCAATTACTGTACGTTTCCAAGTTTGGAAATTGGGCGCAAAATTGCAACAAAGTTCGCAAGTTCATTTCAATGTTTGAACTTGTTTGAAACAAATAAGGTACGGATAGGCCGTGTTTTTTCACGTCGCTATACGGAAAGCTATCCGGTAAAAGTGTAAACGTAGCCTTAGCTTGTTTACTGAATTTATTTAACAACTCACGAAAATGTTTTTAACATTTATTGGAAGACAAGTCAAGTAAGTGCAGGGACGCCGGAACTGGGGGCAGGAGGGGCAGCCGCCCCCGTTGCCCTCTACCAGGATGGGCAAGGGGCGCAAAGGTGCCCTTTCAATTTAAAGGATTGCCTTGGCGAAATAGCGAATTGTCAGAAATGTTAGTGCAATTCTTTTACGAATTTGCTTCACTGGAAAACGCAAGAAATGCAGTCATCGAGCTTCAAGAATAGCGCAATCGCCTGGCGGAGAACCCCCTCACCCCCCTATCATCCAATAAATAGAAAACATGATTAGGCGAAGTTCAAATCCCGATGTTTTGCAAACATCTCTTAGTATATATCAATTCAAAAGTGCATGCCCTTTCACGCAAATCTGCCCCCCTTGCCTTCACATCGCTCCGGCGTCCCTGAGTAAGTGTGACAAAAATATCACGATTTTTAAGTTTATTTATTTTCATTGGCATTGCAGTGATGCGATATGTTGTTTCGTAAACTGTTGTCCCATGCAACCGCCACTTAAGTATAGGGACTGTAAGCATATACGACAGCAACGCGACGACGATAGCCAAAACAAAATTTTTCAAATAAATTATTGTGGAGAAATATTGTGCATTGTCCACTGTGTGATTGAACTTCCGCTGGGCAAATTCATAGTCAAAATTAATTTAGCCTCAAATGATAACAATTGAATTGACAACTGGCTGTAACAGCAGTAAATTAAATACAATATAATAATATGATAATCAATATTATTTACAAGTGCTCCGGCGACATATATTATACAGGCAGGAACACCAAGGTTGCATGCAACATCTGAATAATCAATGTTATACTATATTCAACTTCCTTTACAATAGAAAATAATTTTTATGTCAGTAAATGATTAAACTTAATTAGTGAATTATACTTTATATTATAAATATATTTACCTTTTGCGGCTACAATGCATTGCAGTGATATGCATAATATACATATTAAACAAATACGAACTTTATTTTAGTTATTTTAGCTAATATAGTTAGTATAATAATGATTTACTGTCATGTTCCAGAGCATGAACATCTACAATCGTAGACCACTTTTTTATAAACCAACTGTCCATTCATGATCTTCGTAGGTAGCATGATGGAAATTTCTTCTTCTGGCTTGTTGCAAGATATTTTGTACACAACGTTTGACGATGCATCAACATACTGTTGTATTTTAATATTCTTTTTTTGACATGTTACTCGTCTTAAGCAAGCAACAACCACACTTAATGTTCCCATATTTCTGCTGGTTTTGTCGACCACCATTACCGACCCAAAGGCCGAGTAGCAATCATGTTGTGGATTCTGGTGGCATGTTAAGTTATCAATGTAGGATGGTAACCGATTAAAGTTGTATAATGTTTGTCTGTTTGCCTCGCACGATACAGGTGGTTGCTTTGAGGGTTGTTTTGCAGGTAGCGTATCAATAGATATGACATACGCCACAACAATCAGCAGAGTATAATACAAAATATTCTAAAAGAGAAACAGCAAAACATTAAACTTGCAGTTCGACCATGCACCCACCGTATACTATGTCGTGCATTGCCGGTATAAGAATATCCATACAAATATCCCGAATCTAGTGGGTTTTTGATCGTTGAAAATTGGTTAATTTAGTGGGGATGGTATGAAATTTGAACGGAACATTTTCTGCACAAATGTGGAAAAATTTAGTTTTGACCCGCAATATTTCGTATCGTAAGTTGACCGGCATTTTTGTTCGCGATGATACATAACAGGCTGCATGTCCAAAGATGTTTATTGATAAGGAAATGGAAATCTGTCAGACTTGGCTCAATACGTAACGCAAACTCACTGAGCATGTCAAAGTTGGATTGCCTTAAGTCTGGTTCACATATATGCCTGCGACGTACCGGCGACGATGCCGGTGGTAGCTTAAAACGTGAATTATGTGAATATTTGTTCACCGATTGCCTCCAGTGCAACAGTTACATCGGCGGTAGGCCGGGAAAGTTGACTTGAGTTCAACTTTGCCGGTATTTCGGCGGCAAGTAGAGGCATAATGATACTCAGTCGCAGGCATACCGCAGGCATATGTGAACCAGGCTTTAGTCAGATACACCCTGTACACTAATTCCTTCTATCACAAAGTAACTTTTTGGTAATAAACATAGATTGATTGGCATCAAGAAGAAAAGTGGGATACTTTTTGTCGCTACAGTACAGTTGAATTCATGAGCTATATAAGTATAAATTGACTTTTGTACACTGATTGTGTATATTTCAAATTCAATCAAAGGCAGTTAGGACGACTCACGGATGAGATCAAATGAAAGTGACAGAAAGAATTAGAGCAGTTTGCAGTTGTTTTTGCAAAGGGGCACCGCGTGCGAATTTTGCCATTTGTCGTGCTTCTTTCGCCAAATCAAGAGAATGAACGCGTGCTCCAGCCCGATTTCCAGTTCTGAAAGGCCCGATTCGCAGGCAAACAGTGCGCGCAAAGCAGGCTGGTCATTTTCCATTGTTTAACTGATGTTGCTTCGCAACATCCGTGAGTTAAAAATGAGGGGAGTGGATGGGATGTGCAATTTTTTCCGTACAAAACTATAATTATAGTTATAAAGGAATGCAATGGACCTTTAACCTTATAACTAAAATTTTGATCTAGACAAAAATTTCATCACAGCTTGAAAGAGCATCACAAAATTAGTAATATTCCAAAGTTTCGTTACGAAATGTTAG